ATGCTCGTTCTTCTTCAAGGCGTTTCCACCCTTTGAAAAAGTCAAATAGGCCCTAGCCAGTTAGGCTCAGTGGATAGAGTGTCGGCCTTCGAACTGAAGGATACAGGTTTTGATTCCCGGTCAAGGGCACATGCCCAACCTTTGGGCTTGATCCCCAGTGAGGGACATACAGGAGGTGGCCGATCCATGATTCTCTCATCATGGATGTTTCTAACTCTCTCCCTCTCCCTTCCTCTCCGAAATCAATAAAAATATATTTGAAAAAAATGGCCGACGCTCTATCCACTGAGCCAAACCAGCTCGGGCGTTATGTCATCTTTAAATGACTAGCGACCTGGTATGTTAAACCAAAAAAAAATAATAAACTTTTTTAAAACAATGTGCATTTAATCCGAAAGCAACGCTTGCTTAATATTTTTTTAAATGTTTTTATTGACTCAGAGAGGAAGGAAAAGTGAGAAGGAGAGAAACATCCATGATGAGAGATAATCATGGATAGGCCGCCTCCCACACGCCCCCTACTGTGGATCGAGCCCACAACCGGGGCATGGGCCCTTGACTGGGAATCGAACCGTGACCTCCTGGTTAATAGGTCGTCACTCAGCCACTGAACAACTCTGGCTGGACCCGACGTGCATTATTTTGAATATGAGAAACACACCTTAGAAACACATCCCTCACGCTCTCCTGTCCTCAGCCTTAAAGGTCTCAATTGGCATTTGCAAACACTTTCTTGCAAGAGGAGAATTTTTTTTTTTAATTACATTTTATTAATTTTTTACAGAGAGGAAGGGAGAAGGAGAGAGAGTTTGAAACATCGATGAGAGAGAAACATCGATCAGCTTCCTCCTGCACACTCCCTACTGGGGATGTGCACACAGCCAGGTACATGCCCTTTACTGAAATCGAACCTGGGACCATTCAGTCTGCAGGCTGACTCTCTATCCACTGAGCTAAACCAGTTAGGGCCTGTAAAAGGAAAATTTATTCAGCAGTCAGTGATCTCTTTAATGCAAACATGGATGCCCTGAAATTGATTTCTGGGGCTCCCTCTGGCTCCCCCTCCAGCCACCTCTCTCTGGTGCGATGCAAGATGAATTTTATGATCAATGGGCTTTTTGGGGGGCTGTTTAGTGCTAAACACAACTAAAAACCCAAATGCATCCAGAGCTAGATGCTAAAGCCATACACAGAGCCAGCTCGAGCATTCAGGTAACGAGCCCTGGCATCCCTCATAATTCCTCAAAAGAAAAAGATGATCAGTTTAAAACACCCGTAATCCACCCAACATTCGTTCTTTTTTTGTAGAGGATAGTATTGGTTGACGAACCTCAGGAGATCAAACAATGAAAACGCTGGTCATTGAAATGAAAACTATTTCCAGTGATGTCTCTGATCCTTGTCTACCGGGGCTGAGCTAATTTTTCAGGCTTAAGGTTTTTTTCTTTGTCTTTCTCTGTTTAATATATTTTTACTAGAGGCCTGGTGCACGAATTCATGCACCCGTGTGGTGCCTTGGCCTGGTCTGCGGGGATCGGCCAAAACTGGCTCTCTGACATCCCCTGAGGGGTCCCAGATTATAAGAGGCCACAGGCAAGGCCAAGGGAAGCCACCGGTGCACCATTAGATCTGGGAGGGACACGAGAGGTTGGCCAGCTGGGGAGGGACCATGGCAGGGCTCCAGGGTGTGTCCAGCATGTCTCACTCACTCCTGATCATCAAGACTACAGCAGCAAGCTGACCTACAAGTCTGAATGTCTTGTCCCTGGTGGTCAATGCATGTCATAGTGAGCAGTTGAGGAACCTTAGTATATCATTTGCATATTATGCATTGATTGGTTGAAAGGATGACCCATTGAATGGACACTTAGCATATTAGGCTTCTATTATATAGGATTGATTTCATACAGGAAGGGAGCGAGAAACATAAATGATGAGAGAGAATCATACATCGGGTGTCTCTTGCCCGCCCCCTACTAGGGATCGAGCCCACAACCAGAGCATGTGCCCTTGAACAGAATCCAACCTGGGACCTTCCAGAGTCCACAGTCCAACCCTCTATCCACTGAGCCAAAAAAGCCAGCGCTCATTAGTTAATTCTTGTCTGTGCCCTGACCAGGAATCAAGCTGTGACCTCCGGGTTCATAGTTCATCCATGAACCACTGAGAAACACCAGATTGGCTCAAAATGCTTTTATTGATTTGAGAGAAAGGGGGAGAGACAGAGAGAGACAGAGAGAAAGGAGATGAGAAGAAGAAAAACAAGAACAAGAAAAGAGAGAGAGAGAGAGAGAGAGAGAGAGAGAGAGAGAGACATCAATGTGCCCTCGCAAACTGGCGGTGGCAGATAGAACAACAGAGCTTAGTAAAAAAGTGAACAGAACTATACACGTCCCACCACCAGGCCGCAGGACTGGGGCTCAGGTTGACAAGAGCCAGGGACCCATCATGTGTCCTACGAGTCTTCCTTCAGCTCAAGGATCATTTCCTCTATGCCATTCTCCTTGATGTGGTGCACGATGCGCCAGAACCGGCCCATGGAGTCCAGGTACTGGCTGCCAAGGTGGCACGTCCACAACAAAGGCATGGTGCTCGCGGTTAGCGGGCAGGTGGTGAGTGCAATAAGCCCACTGGGGATGTCTTCCTGCCGCAACCGTACTTGCAGGACACCTCCTGTCTCCATGACGAGGTGCAGCCACGTGCGCTGCTTCTCGTCCTGGTACACCGAGGGCCAACGGATCCTCAGGCAGATGGGGTGGGAGTTGAGGTGCACCTTCGAAGGGAACTCGGCCATGACCCCTCAGTGGTACAAGGAGCAACAGCCACAGCTTCTCAGAGCCTTTCGCTACTTCGGTCCTGGTATCGAAAGACAGGGGATTGGGTCTCCAAACGCATTTTACCTCGGCTTTAACTTTATGGTTTTTAAGGTTGTGTTTGTGGTTGCCTTTGGTTCAAATTTATGAATCTCAACTTTTCTTTCTTTTTTAGCTTTAGATCTTTCATCTAGAACAAACTGTACTAAACGTACTTAATGGGAAATATGACTCTGTGAACATAACAGGGTCCTATGAAATTTTAAAAACATTTTTTCAATCACAGTAGACATAGAACATCAGGTTCATTTCAGGGGTACACCGCAATGATTAGACATGATATAATGGACTAAGAAATCATGTAATTAATCTCATGCCCATCTGAGACCATACACAGTTATTATAATATTACTAGAGGCTCAGTGCACAAAATTTATGCACTCAGGGGGGTCTCTCAGCCAATCCTGGAGCCTCTCCCAGTCCAGGACTCGTTGAGGGATGTCCAACTGACGGCTTAGGCCTGCTTTTGTTCTGATGTGGAGGCTCCAACCACCCCAATGTGCTCGGCAGCTGTGAGCCTGGCTTTTGACTGAGTGACGCTCCCGCTGTGGAGTAAACTGACCACTGGTGGACAGCATCTGCCATGAGCATCTCCCCCGGTGGTCAGTGCGTGTCATAGCATCCAGTTGTTCTGCCGTTTTTTGGATTTGCATATTAGCCGTTTTATTTTATTGGATTGACTCAATGCTCTACTTTACTGTGCCATGACTATTCTTTTGTGTGTTTTTTATATAGTTTTACTGATTTCAGATAGGAAGGGAGAGGGAAAGAAAGAAAGATAAATGATGACAGAGAATCACGCATTGGTTGCCTCCTGCACGCACCCTACTGGGGATCAAGACTGGGGATCAAGACTGCCATGACTGGGAATCGAATCCACATCTCCTGGTTCCTAGGTTTAAGCTAAACAACTGAGCTAGGCCAGCCGGGCTCTTTTCTTTTCTTTTTTCTTTTTTTTCTTTCTATTTCTTTTCTTTTCTTTTTTTTCTTAATTAAAACTTTGTAGTTGGTTCAACTTTTCTTTTTGTCAAGACACACCACCTTTTTTCTGATCATCTCAGAGGGAACTCACAAACCATAGAACAACCCACCCTGTGCAAATAATATGTAAATAATATGCTTTACCTTTTACACCTGGCAGAGGAACAAATCTAACGACAGTGTCCAGGTGGGCTTCTTAACAGCTGTCTTGCTTCTCAAGTGCTGGTGAGAGAGGCAAGACCAAAATATTCAGGGACGGACAGACACCTGGGATAGCTGATTGGGCCACCAGGAAGCAAATTTACAGGTGAAAGAGCACGTAGGATTCCTGATGTCTCATAACATCATTTATAGAATGATCTCTCCCTTCCCCAAACCTCAGCCATGCTCTTGCCAAGAGCTGTATGGTTTTGCTGCTAAACTCACTTCAGTCCACAAAGTCCATATTCCTCCCTCAGATCAGACTCTATCCCCAATCCTTCCTCCTTCTCCTCCCATCCATCTTTTTCTTGCCTGTTCTTCTTGCTCTGAAGGCAAAGCCCTGTTCTTCGCTCCTTTCCTCTGTGACTGGTCTTCGCTTCCCACTGTCACCTGCAGAAGAAAGAACATGGCCATGATACACTTATTCCCAGGAGTCCATGTACCAGGAATGTGTCCAGAAAAAACAAGGTACCACTGACTCACACCCCAGAAACCAGTTCTGTGATACAGGTGGTGGTGATGTAGGAAAGAGGTTTATTCAGGTGCTGGCAACCTGAGAAGATGGGGGAAGCTCATCCCAAAACCCATCTGCACATCTCAGTCCAAGCAGTGGCTTTTATAAGGAGGGAGAGACCAAACAGAGCAAAGAGGTCAGGGGGCGGGGCTTGAGTAGTTCTCTATGTGCCCACAGGCACAGTCCAATCTGATAAGGATCTTGCAAGTGGTCAGGTGTCTGTCCAGTGTGCGTCATGCTAGACTATGTACTCCTGGTTCTAATGTTGAAGGTCATCAAAACTCCCAGAACCGGGAAGGTTAGAGTTCATATCTTGTAAATTTAGTTCCTAGGATTCTTATACAAACAGGCTGTTTACCAACAAGCTTCATTATTAGTCAGAGTCCACATTTACAGGAACAATGTGGAAAGAATGGTGAGGTAAGTTGTAATACCCATGAATTACATGAATTCATGTAATTACTGTGACATAAATGCTGAGATGCTTCGTTCTTCTTCAAGGCGTTTCTACCCTTTGAAAAAGTCAAATAGGCGGTAGCCGGATTGGCTCAGTCGATAGAGTGTCAGCCTTAGAATTGAAGGGTCTCAGGTTTGTTTCCCGATCATGGGCACATGCCCAGGTTGTGGGCTAAATCCCCAGTGAGGGACATTCAGGAGGTGGCCGATCCATG